TCTATCTCTTTCTTTTTTTTAAATATTCTCTCATTTATTCTATGTTTCTCTCGTCCACTCTATGTTTAAATATAAGGACACGGAATTACAGGAATTGGTATAAAATGCAATGTTTAAAATTTACCGAAATGATACAGTTTTGTGGATCGCTACATCAAAACAAAGGTTTATCCACTGAGAGTAGGAGTATAAATATTTACTCATGCAAATATACATACTTAACTGTCTACATATCTTCCTCGCATAAACACACATTTATATATATATATATATATATATATATATATATAATCTTGTAGTCAAATGTCAAATTCAGTCATGCTTATATAAGTTTGATCCAGTCAGGTAGAGGGTTACGTCGGCGGAGTAACCAATGCACATATTAACAATGGTCAAGTGGATTAGTTTATTCTCCATCACTTTTTGATTGTTCCCCCCGCCCATATATATATATACACATGGTTGGTACTAAAAAGTACCCGTCCCTTCCACGTCGACATCCACCCAAACAACCAGGTGGCTTTTAAAAATCAGTTTTTATTAAGAAACTAAATTTGTCTGGACCCCCCTCTTATATATATATATATATATATATATGCCTCTTGGAAGAGGAGCCTTTGGGGCCTGACTACCCTAAAAAATCATTCGCCTTCCTCCGTGAAAATGATGTAAACTTTAATGTGCAAACTCTTACTCATCGTCCACCCTGACCTAATGTCGGTTCCCTCACTGAAAACACTGGCGATAGGACTATATATAAAGAAACCATTTCACGTAAATAACTTTTGACAGGTAGTAATATCGTTGCTGGTAAAACGCACACGCATGCCCCATGACCTGAAGGTCAGTCGTCAAGTAAAATATTATTTAAAAAAATAGTAATAATAACAAAGAAAAGGAAATGACATGGAGAATAGGAAGAGACTATTAACAACAAACGTCTGAGGAAAGATTTCGTATTGTAATTGCAAAAATGGTAATGATTCTCTGGAGCTTAACCTACCGGTATCCAGGTGTAGTGCCAGTCATCACGAACTCCACACGCAGTGGTTGGAGCCCATTGCTCAAACATGATTGTCCCGGGCACCGTTTTTCTACCTTGCCAGTCCACCATGAACGTGTTTTTGGGGGGAAAGACGTAAGAATTCGTTAAAGTCCAGATTTAAAGTGTTTTCTTATTCCAATTCTGTTTCGTTGCTCTTTTCTAGCTTGTTTCTGAATATCGAAATATATTATTATTATGATTAATCCCGAAAATGGACGGCCGACGGACGTACGGAATATTTGTCCGTATATAACCACTGCATTTGATAGTACCGCCGGGTACCTGGGATGTTTGCTCGAATGGGGGCCGATTTCGTTTTGGTTGGGTAAATATCATTAACTGACCCGACCCAGGGGTCGGCTAGGATTTTCACTTGGACCTAATGGCCGAACCGATGAAGAGACTGTGTGTGTAACTTACGACGCCGATGTTGCTACTACTGTATTTGGGGCGGCTGATAATCTTGTCATGACGACGACGACGACTACTGCGGACGGGCGTCTGATGTCTTGATTGGGGAAAAAGGTAGATGTTTTTACCTTTCGTTTCTCTCTCTCTCTTTTTTTTCAGCCCACTCTAATTTCTTAATTTGTCGTTTCTTTCCTTTTCTCTATCTTTTCTTATTCTCTTTATTTTTAGACATTTAAAAAAAACAAAAAAACACTACTTTTCTAATTTTCTAATTTTCCGGAAATTTTAAACTACTTTTTCTCTCTGCTCTCACCCGAATTTAATTTTCATTTCCTGTTACCCACCTAGAAATTACAATTTTTTTTATAACTTCGCATTTTTCTCATTCATGCAGGCTTTCTTTATCCATTTCTTTCTTTCTTTCTTTCTTTATCTATCCATTTCTTTATCCATCCATTTCTTTCTTTCTTTATCCATCCATTTCTTTCTTTCTTTCTTTATCCATCCATTTCTTTCTTTCTTTCTTTATCCATCCATTTCTTTTTTCTTTCTTTATCCATCCATTTCTTTTTTCTTTCTTTATCCATCCATTTTCTTTCTTTCTTTATCCATCCATTTCTTTTCTTTCTTTTTCCATCCATTTCTTTCTTTTCTTTATCCATCCATTTCTTTCTTTCTTTATCCATCCATTTCTTTCTTTCTTTCTTTATCCATCCATTTCTTTCTTTCTTTATCCATCCATTTCTTTTTCTTTCTTTATCCATCCATTTCTTTCTTTTTCTTTTCCATCCATTTCTTTCTTTCTTTATCCATCCATTTCTTTCTTTCTTTCTTTATCCATCCATTTCTTTTCTTTCTTTATCCATCCATTTCTTTCTTTTTTTTATCCATCATTTCTTTCTTTCTTTATCCATCCATTTCTTTTTCTTTCTTTTCCATCCATTTCTTTCTTTCTTTTCCATTTCTTTCTTTCTTTATCCATCCATTTCTTTCTTTTTTCTTTATCTTTCCATTTCTTTCTTTCTTTATCCATCCATTTCTTTCTTTCTTTTCCATCCATTTCTTTCTTTCTTTATCCATCCTTTTTTTTTTTTTCTTTATCCATCCATTTCTTTCTTTCTTTATCCATCCATTTCTTTCTTTCTTTATCCATCCATTTCTTTCTTTCTTTTATCCATCCATTTCTTTCTTTCTTTATCCATCCATTTCTTTCTTTCTTTATCCATCCATTTCTTTCTTTCTTTATCCATCCATTTCTTTCTTTCTTTATCCATCCATTTCTTTCTTTCTTTATCCATCCATTTCTTTCTTTCTTTATCCATCCATTTCTTTCTTTCTTTCTTTCTTTATCCATTTTCTTTCTTTCTTTATCCATCCATTTCTTTCTTTCTTTATCCATCCATTTTTTCTTTCTTTATCCATCCATTTCTTTTCTTTCTTTATCCATCCATTTCTTTTCTTTTCTTTATCCATCCATTTCTTTCTTTCTTTATCCATCCATTTCTTTTTTCCATCCATTTCTTTCTTTTTTTCTTTATCCATCCATTTCTTTCTTTCTTTCTTTCTTCTTCCATCCATTTCTTTCTTTCTTTCTTTCTTTATCCATCCATTTCTTTCTTTCTTTCTTTCTTTTCCATCCATTTCTTTCTTTCTTTCTTTCTTTTCCATCCATTTCTTTCTTTCTTTCTTTCTTTATCCATCCATTTCTTTCTTTCTTTCTTTTCTTTTTCCATCCATTTCTTTCTTTTCTTTCTTTCTTTCTTTATCCATCCATTTCTTTCTTTTCTTTCTTTCTTTATCCATCCATTTCTTTCTTTCTTTCTTTTCTTTATCCATCCATTTCTTTCTTTCTTTCTTTTTTTCCATCCATTTCTTTCTTTCTTTCTTTCTTTATCCATCCATTTCTTTCTTTTTTTTTCTTTCTTTTCCATCCATTTTCTTTCTTTCTTTCTTTTTTTTATCCATTTCTTTCTTTCTTTCTTTCTTTTATCCATTTCTTTCTTTCTTTCTTTCTTTATCCATCCATTTCTTTCTTTCTTTCTTTCTTTATCCATCCATTTCTTTCTTTCTTTCTTTCTTTATCCATCCATTTCTTTCTTTCTTTCTTTCTTTATCCATCCATTTCTTTCTTTCTTTCTTTCTTTATCCATCCATTTCTTTCTTTCTTTCTTTCTTTTCCATCCATTTCTTTCTTTTCTTTCTTTCTTTATCCATCCATTTCTTTTCTTTCTTTCTTTTTTTCCATCCATTTCTTTCTTTCTTTCTTTCTTTATCCATTTCTTTCTTTCTTTCTTTCTTTATCCATTTCTTTCTTTCTTTCTTTCTTTATCCATTTCTTTCTTTCTTTCTTTCTTTATCCATTTCTTTCTTTCTTTCTTTCTTTATCCATTTCTTTCTTTCTTTCTTTCTTTATCCATTTCTTTCTTTCTTTCTTTCTTTATCCATTTCTTTCTTTCTTTCTTTCTTTATCCATTTCTTTTCTTTCTTTCTTTCTTTTTATCCATTTCTTTCTTTCTTTCTTTTTTCCATTTCTTTCTTTTCTTTCTTTCTTTATCCATTTCTTTCTTTCTTTCTTTCTTTATCCATTTCTTTCTTTCTTTCTTTCTTTATCCATTTCTTTCTTTCTTTCTTTCTTTCTTTATCCATTTCTTTCTTTCTTTCTTTCTTTCTTTATCCATTTCTTTCTTTCTTTCTTTCTTTCTTTATCCATTTCTTTCTTTCTTTCTTTCTTTATCCATTTCTTTCTTTCTTTCTTTCTTTATCCATTTCTTTCTTTCTTTCTTTATCCATTTCTTTCTTTCTTTCTTTATCCATTTCTTTCTTTATCCATTTCTTTCTTTCTTTCTTTATCCATTTCTTTCTTTCTTTCTTTATCCATTTCTTTCTTTATCCATTTCTTTCTTTCTTTCTTTATCCATTTCTTTCTTTCTTTCTTTCTTTATCTCTTTCTTCCTATTTCCTTCTGTTTTTTCGTTTCTATTTCTTTTTCTTCGTTCCTTTTTTTATCTTTGTTTCTTATTTTTGAATTCTTTCTTTTTCTACCAGTTTTTTTTTTTTTTTTATTTGTCGTTCCCTCACTTTCTTCTTTATTTTATGCACTTTTTAAAACTTTTTCAGCCACGCAGATCTTTTCTGTTTCTTTTTTTTTTACTTTCTTATACTTCATTTTATTTCTTGCTTATTTTTCTTCATTGACTGATTCGTTTTCTATGACTTACCAACTCCTTGTTAGGTTAGTTAAAGCCAGAAAATACAGGGTGTCCCAAAAATGTATACACCCTTTAGTTTAAATTAGTTAAAAGTGTGTATGCATTTTTGGGACACTGTATTTTTTAGATTGTAAGATTTTTGTGTGTGTGTTGGAGGGGGGTGATAATGTTTTAGTGATAAAAGTCTTACTAATTAACTCATAGCTTGGAGGAGAAAGGGATGGATTCATACCTTTCCCATGTAAGTAAATATAACCTACCAAATGGAATTGGAGCCCGATTCTCAGATTAACAATTGCAAGCCATTATCCACTGCACCACTTGCACATCCAAGTTTACAACAGCTGGTATTTCCAAGCAGTCACCCATCTAGTTACTGACCAGGCTCGACGTTGCTTAAACGTCGGGGATTGTACGGGACCCGGTGTTTCAACGTGGTTTGGCCGTAAGACTTATTTTTCTTCTTCCTCTTTTTAGAAATCTTATCCTTCTGTTTCCTGTTTATTTCTATCTTTCTCTGAAGTAATTAACCCCACCTCGTTAACACTCCATCTCATAATTATATAACCATTATATCCCTCGACAAATTTTTTAAACTCTTGTTCAGCCTGCAGGTCTGTAAGGAACAAGAAAAAAAAAGAATCTTAGGTGGGAGAAAAGTAGACTCTACTAAAGTAAAACCATTTTGAAAAAGCGAATATAATGTATTTTATTTAAAATTAATTCCAGCTACTATCATAGTTTTCCTTTCTTTTTAATACTTTTTTTTTTTAAACCGAAACATTTTTCGGCCGGAAATGAAACTACCGGAATTTAACATAAATAAAAACCTTCGGCTGTAACGTAACCTTTCAGCGCATGAGGAAGCTGTGTTTTTAAAATTAGTCATATGACCACCAATCTCCTCATTTAGATTCTATTCCGTGCTGTATTATCGACGACCCGCAAAAGTTGAAAAAATTTCCCCTCAGAAACTTCCCTGTTGGTAGGACGTAAAATAAGCCGACTCCATTCCCTACAAGGAATATACCCAACACAAAAGGAGCCGTCTATCAAGGCTATAGACTAAAAATAAAGGATCAATATTTACCTATCCCGGAAGTAAGTATATGCTTATTGACTCAGATATAAACGATCTATATATACCTATTCCCCAACAAAATAAATGCTTATAAACTGAAATATAACTGCCCAATATATACCTATTCCTAAACAATGTAAATACCTATAAACTTGAATATAAACGACCTATCCTCGAACCAAGTAAATATTCATAGATTCAAATAGAATTAAGATTATAAGAGAGAATTTAAATAACACAATAGTTGGCATTTCGCAAAATCCACCAAATCACTCTAAACCAATTTAAAATTTGCCAAGGCTGTCAATGGGTGTAACATATTTTAAATAATATTTAAACAGTATGGGACACGTAGTTTTCCGACGTTCTCACTTCTCCACTGTCTTATTCGTCAACAATTGTGACATGCCAATAAGATACCTGGCGCTAGATCAAACCATTTTCATGTGAATTTATAGCTTTTTATTTTAGAGGCAATACTACGGAATGGAAACAGATTCTGATATAAAATGATCTTGGTTGCCCTTCCCATTTTTTAACAGATGAAAGGAAGGAAAAAATAAAAAAAAATAAATCCTCCATATTTTCTTTTGTAAAAAAATAGGTTATCTCCCCTCGCTCCTGCTACTATTAGAAGATTCTATTATTTAATTTTAATTGTATAACCCAATTTTCGCACCAAATAAGATTTGGCGCGTAATTACAAGCGTTAAGTTTAGTGCAGCATAAGTTTTCGAAGGGGATAGATGCTTTTAACTGACTCCAAGCCAGTAATGATCGTGAAGTCCCGCTTCTCAAAAGAAAATATGTATTTGAACATTCCATATGGAATTTCATGATTTTCTGTATATGCTATATATAAAATATTATTTAAGCTATTCAATTGAATGGTCTCACTGACACTGACTTTACCGGAACTTTCTAAGGACTAAACAGGAAATAATAAAAACTAGTAAAAATGACGACCAACTTAAAACGTACCTATACTAAAGGGAGCGACTAACGATAAATCAAACCGTTAAAATGCTATACTACAGTAATACACACATACATATACATACATATACATATATATATATATATATATATATTAATAATGTTAACCGGATAAGACTCTCTTAAAAAAAATTGAAAAGTAGCAATATTTATTTCCTTTATAAATACTTGTGGCAAAATAAACCCCTTACATTGACCTTGATAGCCCATCAGAAACTCGTAAGCGAAGATAAGATTTTCTTTTGTACTTATTCATATTTTCCTCTTGCAAATATATTTTAGTTATCTCTGAAATTATATATATATATATATATATATAATATATATATTATATTATATAATATATATATATATATATATATATATATATATATATATATAATATATATATATATTATATATATTATATATATATATATATATATATATATATATATTTATATTATATATATTATATATATATATAATATTTATATTATATATATTATATTTATATATATATTATATTATATTATATATATTATATTATATTATATATATATATAATATTTATATATATATATATATATGTGTGTGTATTATATATGTATGTATGTTTACTGAGCGATGAATAAATTGTCGTCTAAAACATTGACATTTCATTTTAATAGATATATTTACCAAAACTACACAAACATATCTTGAAATACTAATTTATTCAATAAAATCGCCATCGGTTTCAACCACGGCCTCACGGCCTCAAGACGACTTCGGAATCTCCCGGAACTCTTCTAGACGGTTTCTTTGTTTAAGTTGGTGAATGCTGCCATAATCCTTGCCTACAGTTCATCTTTTGTGTTACAGTGAGTTTTGTTGGTCTCTCGCTCAACTGCGCCCAACACATAAAAATCAAGGTGCTTGTAATCTGCGGAGTTAGGAGGCCAAATGTAAGGGGTGATATAGTCGCAGAAATTATCTGACAGCCATGACTAAGTTCTCCTGCTTGTGTGACATGGTGCAGAGTCCTGTTGTCAGCAGTCACCATCTTGATCCAGGGCAGCCCTAATCCCTTAAGGCACTTCATGTAGGCCTCCGTGATGAGTTTGAGTCATTCACCAACAAATTTCAGAGTTCTTTTCTTATCAGAACGATCGAAGTGAGTTTTCCGAGCTGTCGTACCATTAGACTCATCTATCTCTTTCTGAATTTGAATCTGCACTTTCCTCAGATTGACACCCAAACACACTGAAATATTGGTATTGGAGCTTCCAGCGCGAATGGCAAGCAGTACGATGTACCGCTTTCAAATCTCTGGTGGAATGAATTGGTTCATGGTGCTCTTTTCCTCACAGACGGTGCCTAACTGACCTTACTATACTGTGTAGTCAACAAAATAAAAACAAACTACGCGCATGCGCAAAATAAAAATAAAATGACGGCAATTTACCCATCACACGCTCTGTGTGTGTGTGTGTGTGTGTATGTGTGTAAGTGACTAAAAACAAAAAACAAAAAAAGGAAAACTTTCTTTACTGACGCGTTTCGTCTTATGAGGGACTTTATGAAGGAAAATGTAAGGATTTTACTTTGCAGCATTTATTTATAAACAAAATAAAAATATCGCTATGTTTTCGAAATTTTTAAATTTAAGAACGTTCTAAAATATTCTTAGTTCTGTAAGAGTAAAGGTAAACTATGGAAGAAGATAAGTGATGTAATGTATTGCGTAATAGACGAAAATGAGCAAATGTTACATGTATTTTCTTTGTTTCAATTTTAAAATTTTGATGCTCATATATGTTGGCAATGAAAAGGATTATTTCTTTTAAGAAAGGAATTTAAAAAAAAATAAGACGCAAGTTAACATTTTGGGAAGAATCAATTGCTGCATTCTCAAGAAATTTCTGCGTAAGTAAATTTTTGCTTTTAATAGTATAGCATTCTTATATATATGTTGTGGGGGATATAAATTCTATATAACAAACTAACCAAAATACTTCTATCACAAAGTGGAATATTTAAAACAGCGATAAAAATGAAAACGTTTTGTAGCTGAAGTCGACGACCTATACGTCCAGGCACATCGGACGTCAGAAATTTTAAATTTCAACTTAAGCTTCCGTACATTTTCAGCGTTCCTCGCGCTGTGTGATTATTAGCAAAGTTTTTTTGCTTTCTTGATGGTGAAGGTAATGATTTTTCAGTTTGTCAGCCGTTAAATGTTGCCAACTTCTTATTAAAAACTTCTTTAAAGCCTCCAATTGCATATAAAGATTTTACCATCGGGACATTTAATGTTAGAGGAATAGCGAAAGAAATTATTGTTTCGGGATATTGATAGTTATTGCACTGCTATATGTTGTCGCCAAGATACCAAAATCAAAGAAAACCTTGATATCAATATCGCAGTTAGACAGCACAATTAATAGCTATGCAAACAGTAAATATTATGGAAATGGTTTTATCATCAATACTAAATGGAAGAGCATCCATAGACATTGGATGACCAATTATAGTAAATGCACTGAAAAACAGCATTAAAAGAACTAACAATAAAAATTCCATCTTTACTCCCTAAAAACTTTAAACATCCTGGAAACTTTTGATAGCATTTCCGGAAGTTACCACAGGAAAAGTGGGGTTTGGAGAGGATAGGTAAGATATTTTACAAAGTTACTGAAGATGAGAAATAAAAATGATTTGTGTGTGACTTTAAGTCGAAACAGCTTTGATGATCATGATGATGCTTGTTTATATTCTCACCTCATTCCCGCATAAAGGAGCGGGGTACGTTGACAGTTTAAATTGATTTTTTTTTTTAATTTTCTTTTTGCTTTTATCATTTTTTAGGAAATATTCCATATTTTAATAATAGGCACACAGCGCTGTCAGATTTTCGTAAAATTGCTCTGTTGTATACAAAATTACATATATTGTTTGCCTACATCTATATCTGTCTATCTTAAATATATGTAGATTTAATAGGCCGGTTAATTAAATTTAAGGAATAAAAGCCAACAAAATATTTATTATATATTAGTATTTTGACTAAATTCAAACATGCAGAGAAAGATTTTAATGTCTGAATAAATTTGAACTCGGATTTGCCTCTTTTCAAAATAAAAATCATACACTAAACGATTAAACAAAGATTTGCGTTTACTCAGGGAATATAGGAGCCCTCTAACCATCAACAACAACAATCCTCTGAAGAGTAAGTCCCAGGTTTTTGTTTATTTCTAGTCTCGTTGAAAAAGGACACAGGCATGTCTGAACATTCCGACTTTAAAATACTTCTCTTCGTTCTGAAATTTAGTCAATATATAACAAATATCGATCTTATTGGCAATATTGTTATCATTTTGATACTCAAGTGTCATAAACAACAGTATT